AACTTGACATAAGGAAACTAGGGGATGGAGATTTTCTGGCTTGCTGGATGGCTTTGCTAGCTCTTTACGAAACTCAGGGGCTGATGTGGGAAGTTATGCAAATGGTGGTACATCCCTGGGATGCGGTGGTCGTGCGATTTGGTTTGCAAGTCCCCTGCAACTTGACATAAGGAAACTAGGGGATGGAGATTTTCTGGCTTGCTGGATGGCTTTGCTAGCTCTTTACGAAACTCAGGGGCGGATGTGGGAAGTTATGCAAATGGTGGTACATCCCTGGGATGCGGTGGCCTTGCTATTGAAACAAGTGGGAGAAGTCAATGAGGTGCATGTGGAAAAGCATACACAAATGCAGAAGCAGAGTGATCCTTATGACCCTAGTGGTGCATCTGGACCTGTCTAGACTAGCCCTCCCCCAAGTTTGGTCAAACTCAATTGCGATGGAGCATGGGAGGCTCAAACAGGAAAAAGGGGGTGGGGTGGGTGCTCCGAGATGGCATAGGCTGCTTCATAAGTGCGGGAGGCTATGGGGAAATGCGTTGTGTCTCTGCATTAATAGTGGAGGCAGAGGTGATACCAGAAGCTTTAACCCAGTGTTTGGAGTTTGGGTTTGACAAGGTGGGGATGGAATCTGACTCACTTAGTTTGATCAAAATGCTCAATCAGGAGGTTGTTATGGATTTGCAGATTGAAGGAATTCTATTTGATATTCAGTGCTTGAGTCAACATTTTCACCAAGTGAAGTTTATGTATGCTCCGAGAAAATGTAACCAAGCTACCCATTTAGTGGAAGCTTATGTTTTTCATAGTGGTGGCAGGCTTAGCTGGGATATTGTTTGTCCCGAATGGCTGTTTAACTGCGTAGCCCAAGATGTAAACTGTTCTATTCGTATTTAATATATCTTCCTATCTTCGTCAAAAAAGAAAAAAGAAAAAATGATAGACTGCAGCCAGCTGTAGAAATCTTATGTGTGTCACTTGATGGTGCCAAGTAGCTCAACATTTCAATTAACATGTATTCATTTAAATTCAGTAATAATTAAATTTATATTTTCAAACTTATCTTATTCTTTTTATAACTAAATTATCTCCTAAGTCGGC